GCTTTCAGAAGGGACGTTAGGCAGTTTTTGGGCTCGATTTTGGCGCGTTTTGGGCACGAAATTAGGTGGCGTTTCAGCGTTTCGAGTGGTGGCCATGAGTCGAGCTGAAAGCGACAGGACGCGACAAGACGGTTATCACAAAGGCAGGCAAAAGTTCTTTTTTTCTAGGGTTTCAGAAGGGACGTTAGGCACTTTTTGGGCTCGATTTTGGAGCGTTTTGGGCACGAAATTAGGTGGCGTTTCAGCGTTTCGAGTGGTGGCCATGAGCAGCAGCAGCAACAGGAGCAACAGGAGGGGGGTTCTATGTCTCATTGCACAAACAGTGGTATAAACATTGGTCGAAAACTATAAAACCTTGTCCAAAACTATATTGTTTTTCTAGGGTTTCAGAAGGGACGTTAGGCAGTTTTTGGGCTCGATTTTGGCGCGTTTTGGGCACGAAATTAGGTGGCGTTTCAGCGTTTCGAGTGGTGGCCATGAGTTGAGCTGAAAGCGACAGGACGCGACAAGACGGTTATCACAAAGGCAGGCAAAAGTTCTTTTTTTTCTATGGTTTCAGAAGGGACGTTAGGCACTTTTTGGGCTCGATTTTGGAGCGTTTTGGGCACGAAATTAGGTGGCGTTTCAGCGTTTCGAGTGGTGGCCATGAGCAGCAGCAGCAGCAACAGGAGCAACAGGAGGGTTCTATGTCTCATTGCACAAACAGTGGTAAAAACTATATTGTTTTTCTAGGCTTTCAGAAGGGACGTTAGGCAGTTTTTGGGCTCGATTTTGGCGCGTTTTGGGCACGAAATTAGGTGGCGTTTCAGCGTTTCGAGTGGTGGCCATGAGTCGAGCTGAAAGCGACAGGACGCGACAAGACGGTTATCACAAAGGCAGGCAAAAGTTCTTTTTTTCTAGGGTTTCAGAAGGGACGTTCGGCACTTTTTGGGTTCGATTTTGGCGCGTTTTGGGCACGAAATTAGGTGGCGTTTCAGCGTTTCGAGTGGTGGCCATGAGTCGAACTGAAAGCGACAGGACGCGACAAGACGGTTATCACAAAGGCAGGCCAAAGTTCTTTTTTTTCTAGGGTTTCAGAAGGGACGTTAGTAGGCACTTTTTGGGCTCGATTTTGGAGCGTTTTGGGCACGAAATTAGGTGGCGTTTCAGCGTGTCGAGTGGTGGCCATGAGCAGCAGCAGCAACAGGAGCAACAGGAGGGGGGTTCTATGTCTCATTGTACAAACAGTGGTATAAAAATTGGTCGAAAACTATATAAAACCTTGTCCAAAACTATGTTGTTTTTATGAAACTTTGTCCAAAACTATATTGTTTTTCTCGGGTTTCAGAAGGGACGTTAGGCACTTTTTGGGCTCGATTTTGGCGCGTTTTGGGCACGACATTAGGTGGCGTTTCAGCGTTTCGAGTGCTGGCCATGAGTCGAACTGTTGCAGCTGACGTCCAAGCGACAGGACGCGACAGGACGGTTATCACAAAGGCAGGCAAAAGATATTTTTTTCCTATGGTTCCCTGTTTCAGAAGGGACGTTCCGCACTTTTTGGGCTCGATTTTGGCGCTGTTCCGTCCTTCAGGGCCACTGCGTTTCCCCGTCATCGAGGGTGCGTTTTCAGCCTCGGGAGGAAGAGCAGCAGCAGCAACAGGAGCAACAGGAGGGTTCTATGTCTTATTGTACAAACAGTGATATAAAAAGTGGTCGAAAAGTATAAAACCTTGTCCAAAACTATTGTTTTTCTAGGGTTTTAGAAGGGACGTTAGGTACTTTTTAGGCTCGATTTTGGCGCGTTTTGGGCACGAAATTAGGTGGCGTTTCAGCGTTTCGAGTGGTGGCCATGAGTCGAGCTGTTGCAGCTGACGTCAAAGCAACAGGACGCGACAGGACGGTTATCACAAAGGCAGGCAAAAGATCTTTTTTTCTAGGGTTTCAGAAGCAACGTTAGGCACTTTTCCCGGTCACTTTTGGAGCGTTTTGGGCATTGGTCGAAAACTATAAAAAGGGGGTTCTATGTCTCATTGCACAAACAGTAGTATAAACATTGGTCGAAAACTATAAAACCTTGTCCAAAACTATATTGTTTTTCTAGGTTTTCAGAAGGGACGTTAGGCAGTTTTTGGGCTCGATTTTGGCGCGTTTTGGGCACGAAATTAGGTGGCGTTTCAGCGTTTCGAGTGGCGGCCATGAGTCGAGCTGAAAGCGACAGGACGCGTGGTATAAACATTGGTCGAAAACTATAAAACCTTGTCCAAAACTATATTGTTTTTCTAGGCTTTCAGAAGGGACGTTAGGCAGTTTTTGGGCTCGATTTTGGCGCGTTTTGGGCACGAAATTACCTTATACTTCTTATCGAGGTTACCAAGGTTACCACTGAAGCTACCACGTTACCATCTTTTGATTACCCGGTCACCAACTTTTCTAGTCTGAGCTTCCGCGCGGGGGACCCACTGCCAGCGTCAATAAAAACACTTTCGGACCAGAAATTGCACAGCAAGCACGGCCGAAACAGCCGCTAAATTCCTCTCCGGAGATTTGCTGTATTTTGTTCCAATCGATCGATGTACACTGGACCAAATGAGCAAGGTGAGATTCTTATCATTGCCATTGGATGACACTCGCAACACGTCCGAATCAGACCAGAATGACACTTAGAGAGTCTTAAACATGCCTCGCTGCCTACAAGGACACAACACTTTCTGTTGTTGGGGCACTTGAAAGAGGAAGTGTGGAGAGTTCTACTCAATGGTATTGCATCTTTTAGGAGGACGTGTACAATGCCGTAGCTTCCTTGCCTTACATATTTCTCACTTTTTCTCTTGCTAGCTGGCACCACGAGTTACTTCCGGGGTCGGCGGCAGGGGCGGCAGCCCTTAAATAATATTAAACACCCCATTCTATGGCCTCAAACATGCGATTTCATGACCCACAAAGTCATGGTGACTCTGGGGTGTGTTTAATATTCAAGGATTCTAGAACATTTACCTCGGTTGGTTTAATCCCCATCATACTCCAGAACAAAAATCCACCAGTCCATTGAATTTCCGTTGATCATCTAATGTTTAGATTGTTTAGTAAACATGTACATACATTTACTATATCCCACTGTAGTGAATTCTATCACCTAGTTGATGACCATGAATCCTTGATGACCTAGTTATGTGAAGCCGCTTAAGCCTTCGGATGGGCCAAGCACCTCGACCTCAATACCCAGGCGTTCGCAAAGGAAGTCAACAACCTGCTGGAATCGCTGGGATCCCTGGAGCTTCCGATAGGGATTCTCAATGAGAACATCGAATTTTTACTTACTATGGGAATAGAAACATCTAAAAACTATGGTTAAAAGTCCATATATATATATGATTATATATGTCCATGTCCAAATATCCTAACAGTAACCATTCTCATTAATGGGATACAGAAATCGTAACATGTCCTAAGCACCAAGGCACAGGGTGAAATCGGGTGGATGGATTTACCACAATGCCAGTGATGTTTGGGGCCCCATGACCAGTAACCATTGTCCAATTCTGGGAAAGTCCATATGGGTATGTCTGAAAATGGGGTATACCCTCTGGTAATTTAACATAGCTATTGAAAATGGCCATTTATAGTGGACTTTCCCATTTAAAATGGTGATTTTCCATAGCTATGTTAGTTTACCAGAGGGTACCCCCAATTATAGCCATTTAGTAGGGATAATGATCAGCAAAACCATTGGGTGTAGGGGTACACTATTTTCAGACAAACCCATATATGTCCGTTGTTGGGTATGATGTTTTGGTCGATTTTCAGAAGACACGTTCTCCAAGTTCGAGGTACCCCCAAGTTTGACACATCTGGAAGTCTCTGAAACTGGATTCTCTCCCAAAAATGATCACGTTAATAGGTAAAAATGATGATTCACCAGAGGATGTTCCCCCAAAATTTCATCTTCAATAGGAAAATGAGGATGCCCCCAGTCAAATTTTATCAATTTTGGGGCACCTCAAACAACCACCAACCCCCAGTGGTTGCCTGGCCCTTTCGGTTGACTCGAGCCGCATCTACCACATCCTGACCCTTACCTCAGGCATCGCATCGCTTTTGCGGAGATACCCTCTGGTTTTTTTAACTAATGGAAATATCACCGAGGATGCGAGATATCAATGAGATCACCTAGGTTTTAATGTTCCCAACTTTATTCCCATAAATGGCTGGTGGTTTGAACCATATTGAAAAATATGAGTCAATGGGAAGGATTATCCCATATATTATGGAAACAAATGTTTGAAACCACCAACCAGTAATAGGTATGTATGGAAACAATGTCCCATGTCATTCCAAACAATTTATGATGATTTACTGAACTTAAAATGATGATGTTCCATTAGTTGCGTTAAATTACCAGAGCGTAGTACGTTTGAATGCGCAAACCGCTTGCTCCGACCACAACTCTTTTTCTGGTAACATTTTAACAACATGTTCATGATTTCAACATGTCCAAAGGAAAGTCGAGATCATGCATATGGAAAGGAATCTCAAGGGGTGGTCTATGGAATTTAAATTCCCACCCCAAATGAATTTGATATTGAAGGGTTTAGGGTTTAGGGCATGAATATGCTTTAGTAAAAGGTTTTGGGGTTTAGTTTAGGTTTAACAAACATATGAGTTGGCAACGTCAGTATCAAGTTCAACACGCAATTCTCAAGGCTGTGCGTTGCGATCAGATTGAACAAACATTGCGCTAATTGTTGTTTGTGATCAATGATTATTATCAACACTATTATCATTATCATTAACGTTATCAATCATGATGGGATGGTATCAAACAAAAAAACAAATATGTGTTAACCAAAAAAATGCGTTACCATCTGGTTATTTAACATAGCCATGGAAAATCACCATTTTTAATAGAACCATCTATAAATGGGCCAGTTTCCATGGCTATGTTAAATAACCAGAGGGTAATTTAAAACAAATAAATCACCAATCATTACGAATCCTTTGCAGCTCTGTCCTCAGTCTCCGGGCGGTTTCGAAAGTTGTTCCAAGTATTGTCCGGCCACTCCTTCTCCACAGCATCCAGCAGAACCTGGAGGGTTGTCACTGGGCAAAGAAACTGCTGCTTCAAGCAGATTTCGCAGATTTCACCAACAAAAAAATGGGATTCAGTCCATCCAATATCATCCAAAATGTGGGCTCAAGATCGTTCAAGTAAAAAAGTCTTAATCGTTGGGAGTTCAACAAAGTTAAACCCCCAGTTTCTGATGGATCGAAGGAACGATTTACAGGTTAATTATAGGGGTTTCCTGCAACATTTCCCTTCAACCAAAAACAGGGACATTACCAACAAACATTTTTTTATAGATGTTTTTTGGAACCAAGAAAGAGGCTCTGTTTGGTGATTTCAACTTTCCAAGAATCCCCTTAAAATTCCAGCCAAAGGGCTTTGCAAGAATTACCTGGGACAAAAATAACTGATAAGTAAAATTGTGCCAGATATATGATATATCCAAATGTTGTATAATATTGTGGAAACAAAGTCCCACAATCGTTATCAACAAAACCAGATTGGCTTGGCGGGGAGATTTAGTTTTGGCTTTGCATCGAAATATCAACAACCTGGTGACTTTTGGACGAGGATCAAACCAAGCCGACTTGTCATACTGCTTTAATCAAAGCAGCAAAACGGATGTCTGCAAATCGGGCCCGTGCAGCCACTGGTTAATCGTTCCAAGGGTACCCCATTTTCCGACTCCCAACCGACGTTCCTTGAGAATTTCCATCTGGCCATAGCCAGCAGCGTAATGCAAGAATGTGTTGTCCTGGAGAAATTGCACCATGTGCTGACAGAAAATCTGACACCACGATCCATCACCAAGAAACATCTTGTGCTGTTCAAAACATCAGTCCACCACCAATCTGGCTGAATTGAAATAATTCCACTAACAAAACTATATGGAAAATCACCATTTTAAATGGATAAATCAACTCTTTCTATGGCCATTTTCAAGTTCGCAAACTGTTAGTTTACCAGAGGGTAATTCACTCACCTGAATTCATGGCTATCATACGGCCATGGGATATGGGATAACTGCGAACGCTTGCGAACCCGGTATGCGCCTGGCCATCTTTCACAGTGACATCCGCACCTGGGAAGAAACGGCCCAGTTCTTGGGATTCTATCCGTCCATTGATACACCCAGTACCAGTTGCTTGATAAGGGCGAAACCATATTGGAGGACAAACTTTCTTACAGATTTACAAAAACAAAAAAACAAGTTGGCATGACCCAAATATAGATATATCCTATTGTATGTCATATCTCCGTTCAATATCCCTATTAATTGCTATACAGCTATTGTATGCTATCATATGCTATCATTGTATTTATGGATGCACCCCCAATATGTCCAGATTTTTTTCTGTAATAGATTCTGAAAATCACCAATATTGTGGGTAGTAACTAGTATGATTCCCCCATAGTCCCCAATATATTTTTTTTGAAACTGCTCACATCAACTTCCATATCCAACCATTCCTCTAATGCTTCCTGGAAGTTCTGTGATTGAAACTGCTTCTCAAACAAGCATCACTTGTATCAATGATCTCCCCATTTTATACCATTTTTATACGCTTGAATTGATGGGATTATATGGATGATGGTTGAAACACCTTCAGCCCCCTATAGGCCCTGCTGGTGTAAAAAAACCTTCGTCCACGGAGTTTCGCCTCGCTCCAGCAGGAGTTTCACTGCGTCGAGGTTGCCACCTGGGAAAATTCATGAATGCAGAATTGAATTTACCCTCTGGTAAATTAACATAGCTATTGAAAATGGCCATTAATAGTGAGTTTTCCCATTAAAAATGGTGATTGTCCATAGCTATGTTAGTCATTACCAGAGGGTATGTTGGATGATGGATCTCTCTTTAATTAGCTGGAACTTCCTACAAAATCCATGATATTCCTTGATGGAACATGATGGAACTGGAAGACCTATGAAGCCTTGGATGAGGTCACACATCGGTGAATTTGGCTCAGGGGCTCATTTGTTTCAATATTGGGCACCCCAAAAAATATCACCCACGTCACCCACATAGACATAAGGATATATATGATATATATATATACAGATTTATATATATATATGTATAATGATGTATATACACTCAATAAGTCCAAGCACTAAATCTGCCGTTTCCAGTTGAAAGCTGAGATCTCCACAAGCCACTGCGTAGCCTATAGGCGCGATCTGCTTCTCGTCCCACTTGTTGATGTCAGCTTCCCTCGGTGGCAGATATTCCCTGACTGCAACCACCCGACTGAAGATGGTTCCGAAGAAGTAAACATATGGATACATATAAGCCAATTTATGGAAAAACTGGAATCATCACATGGCTATTCCAACAAATATGGAACAACATATTCCAACAAATATTTGAAACAAACATGGAAAATCAATCATCATCACATGGGGGTTGTCCAAAATACCTTTTCCCGGACAGCCCTCAATCGCTCAGCCAATCGCGTAGCAACCGCGGTACCACAGTGAGCAATCGCGGAAGGGCTTGTTCTTCGTTGATCAGATCATATACATAAAATATAAGTTATGTATTATATAATGAGGATCCATGCGTGAACGCATTCGATTTCAAATTTGGGAACAAAATAAGCTCGCGCGGTCCGGAAACGGTCCGGAAAACTCACAGTAGTACCAGCAGCAGTAGTACTAGTAGTACTAGTAGTACTAGTAGTACTAGTAGTACTAGTAGTACTAGTAGTACTAGTCGTAGTAGTAGTAGTAGTAGTAGTAGTAGTAGTAGTAGGTAAGAGTAGGAGTAGGAGTAGGAGTAGGAATAGGAGAAGGAGTTCTAGTAGCAGGGCAAGGGAAGAAAGGGAGAGGGAGGGAAAGAGAGAAAGAGAGAGAGAGAGGAGGGAGGGAGGGGGAAACAGATGGTTGCGTTTGACCGGTTTCTGACGGGTTTCTGACTGGTTTCTGACTGGTTTCTGACTGGTTTCTGACTCGTTTCTGACCCTTCAGCGGAACTCGTGTCAATTGGATTTAAAAGCAAGAGCAGAAATTCCTAGGTGTACTAGTGGTAGTGGTGGTGCAGTAGCAGCGGGTGTGGTGGTAGTACTAAGAGTAGTAGCAAATCTAGTAGTGGGAGTAAGGATCCATGCGTGAACGCATTCGATTTCAAATTTGGAAGCAAAATAAGCTTGCGCGGTCCGGAAACGGTCCGGAAAACTCACAGTAGTACCAGCAGGACTAGCAGTAGCAGTAGCACTAGCAGTAGTGGTAGTGGAAATTGCAATAGGAGTAGGCGTAGGAGTTCTGATGGGAGGGTGAGGGAATAGGCAAGGGAGAGAGAGAGAGAGAGAGATTGCGTTTGGCCGGTTTCTGACGGGTTTCTGACTGGTTTCTGACTGGTTTCTGACTCGTTTCTGACCCTTCACACGAGTGCAATTGGATTTAAAAGCAAGAGCAGAAATTCCTAGGTGTACTAGTGGTAGTGGTGGTAGTGGTGGTGCAGGGTGGTGCAGTAGCAGCGGGTGTGGTGGTAGTGCTGGGGGTAGTAGCAAATCTAGTAATGAGAGTAAGGATCCATGCGTGAACGCATTCGATTTCAAAATTGGGAGCAAAATAAGCTTGTGCGGTCCGGAAACGGTCCGGAAAACTCACAGTGCACTAGCAGTAGCAGTAGCACTAGCAGTAGTGGTAGTGGAAATTGGAATAGGAGTAGGCGTAGGAATTCTGGTAGGAGGGTGAGGGAATAGGCAAGGGAGAGAGAGAGAGAGGTTGCGTTTGGAGTAGGAGTAGGAGTAGGAGTAGAAGTAGGAGTAGGAGTAGGAGTAGTAGTAGGAGTAGTAGTAGTAGCAGTAGTAGCAGTAGTAGTAGCAGTAGTAGTAGTAGTAGTAGCAGGAGTAGTAGTAGTAGTATTAGTAGCAATGATAAGAGCTGAGGTGGATGGATGGATGGATGGATGGATGATGCTAGGCAAGTGCTGCCTTTTTGGTGTTTCTGACCTGTTTCTGACCTGTTTCTGACCTGTTTTCAATTGGAGCTAGCTTGAATGTCCTTCTGACCTGAAAACATCTGCCGCGCGCGCGGAATCCGCGCGGCCATGTCAATTATTGGCATGGTTCTGGTCTCGAAAGTAGTAGTAGTAGTAGTAGTAGCAGTAGCAGTAGTAGTAGTAGTCGTACTCGTACTAATAGTAGTTTTTAGTAGTAGTAGTAGTAGTAGCAGCAGCAGCAGCAGTAGTAGTAGTAGTAGTAGTAGTCGTAGTAGTCGTAGTAGTAGTAGTATTAGTAGTAGTAGTAGTACTAGCAGTACTAGTAGTAGTAGTAGTCGTAGTAGTAGTAGTAGTAGTAGTAGCAGGAGTAGTAGTAGTAGTAGTCGTAGTGGTAGTAGTAGTAGAAGTAGTGATAGTAGTAATAGTAGTAATAGTAGTAATAGTAGTAATAGTAGTAATAGTAGTAATAGTAGTAATAGTAGAAGTAGCAATGATAAGAGCTGAGGTGGATGGATGGATGGATGGATGGATGGATGGATGGATGGATGGATGGATGCTAGGCAAGTGCTGCCTTTTTGGTGTTTCTGACCTGTTTCTGACCTGTTTCTGACCTTTCCCGGAGTCTTCTTCAACTTCAAAAAAATCAGCACGGGCAGTCAAACTAGGAACAATTTTAGTGATCGTCAAAGTAATATCATTACTAGTGCCCCAAATACTAGTACTAGTGCTACTAGTAGTAGTAGTAGTAGTAGTAGGAGGAGGAGGAGGAGTAGAAGTAGTAATAGTAGTAATAGTAATAGTAGAAGTAGCAATGATAAGAGCTGAGGTGGATGGATGGATGGATGGATGGATGGGATGCTAGGCAAGTGCTGCCTTTTTGGTGTTTCTGACCTGTTTCTGACCTGTTTCTGACCTGTTTCTGACCTGTTTTCAATTGGAGCTAGCTTGAATGTCCTTCTGACCTGAAAACATCTGCGCGGAATCCGCGCGGCCATGTCAATTATTGTAGTAGTAGTAGTCTCGAAAGTAGTAGTAGTACTAGTAGTAGTAGTAGTAGTAGTAGTAATAGGGTGGTAGCCGTATAACCAATCGCCAACCAATCGCTCAGCCTATCGCGATGCAGGTTTTAGCAATCGCGCAAAGCAAAGTAAACGCATCAATTCATAAATTTGTGACCTGCTTTTACGGACGGCTCCCACATATGGAAAAACATATCAATTTGAAACAAATATCATTCAACACATCCGACACATCCCATGACTTATCAAAGCACCAAGCACATCGGTGATGCCAACGTTGGGAGATCTAGAATTCCAACGAGTCACGGCTCTGCCAGCATCTCCTCAATATATTGCACCTGGGTTCACAGAAAGAGTGTTTCATGTTTCTGTGAAGCTGTTTACGACAGAATTGGGTAGTTATGGACGATCATTAAAGCTTCCATAAGCTTCCCAACTCAGAATTCTTGGTGAGTTTTAATTTGTCTTATCATGTCTTATCATCTTATCCATTCAATTTTTCGGGTGCCCTCAGTGCCCTAATCACTTGAGCCAGCCCTCTCAGTACAGGACATCTCCGCGCAAGGCAGCCTCGGCAAGGACGGTGGACCTAGATGCTCTACTGCTACACCTGGCATCTGTGAATCCCAAAATCCGTGAATCTGCTCCATAAGGCAAATTATATCAAATTATTACTTTTCTAGATTGAGCTATAGTTACAATCCGTATGGGTAGGTCGAATAAGCGGATTAAAACATCTTAAACGTCCACTTTTTCACCCCCTCCCCCGTTCCCCGCAGGTTCTGGAGCTACATCAAGGAAGGCCACCAAAATCTTTCGACGTCGATTCCCCCCGTAATAAGTCCTATCCAACAACCATTAAACACCCATATTAGTAGCCACTCCCAGACGTCTGCCTCATGCAAGGTCGTTGGGGGAGCCTGAGCTTGCCTGGGCGACTGGTTTTTGGAGTTTCCGGAGGTCACCAATTTTCCACCATGGCCACCATGGCCATAGGATACAAACCATTCCACCTGGGGGTCAATATGGGTTAATTGGGGCTGAATCAATAAACTTAAATGGGTTTTAACAACAGACTTTGAGGGTGCCTCCCTACCAGGTAACAGGTAACTCCTGCACAAATCCGGACTTCATGGGCCGCGAATAGGGATCAAGATGGTGGTTTATTCAGCAAACTTGGCAACTTGGCCATGGGAAACCATCAAGATGATGTCCCTTGGGGGATTTAACCATCAATGGCGATTTGCCCACAATCAGTGGCGATAAAAGCCTTACTCAATGAGGAATTTATCACCAAACGTGTGGTAAACCCAATGGTGTTTATGAGTCGATTTTTTACTCTACCAAAATTGGCTTCCATAAGCTGTTCAACCCTCAAAAAAAGAAACGATCCCAAAACTACTTGGGTTTTATGACTGCGGTTCTTTTAGGAGAAAAACAGCACCATGCACCATTTTCCAGGCCTCACCATATCTTCGAAGGCACCGTCAGGGAATTTCCCTGTCCTGACAGGCTGGGATTGGAGATGCTTGTGCCGTCTCCAGGAAGTTGACAAATCTTGGATGGACTCTTCACTTCGATAGATGTTTTTGGGCGGCTACTTGCACGTTGGTACATCATATCCTCTTGTCAAAGATTCCAACACTTCCATACATATCCCAACAATCAATCTCATGGATACATTATCACCCATTATAGATTTATCTTCCAACCTCCATACGTGATCAAGAAGCGGCGCCGAAACAGCAATGCTGGGGTTGTGTGGGGTTGCAATGATTCTACTCTTCATGATATCAAGACCCAATGAAGCATATCGCGATATTCACAATGTATTGAAAATGGTAAGTATCTCAAACCCATTGAACAGAATCCTATTTTATGGCTGATGCCACGATGATTATCAGCCATTCAGCAACTGGTAGAGATCGTTGTGGCTAATCATCAGCAACAGCAGGTCCTCTCAAACTCCTCATAACCAGCAATTTCCTTTCGGAGGCCCCATTTCACCTGCGTCTTCCCACAAATCTGCCCAACTGCCGCTTCAAAGAACATGATGTAACCTGAAAATTTGGACAATGGACTGATCCATTCACGTGTATTTCATGAGACTAATGAGAGCTAGTCATAAAAGTCTGGGATGCATGGCACTTCTGAACATTGCTACAAATTGTGGATAGTTGGTCAAAGTGACTACTTGTGTCTGTGCCACCGAAAAGGCTGTGTTCATCGAGTAGTACACAGAAACAGCCTGGCACAGGGTTGGAAGCCACAAGTTGAGGATATTCATAGTAACCACTGGCTTGAGGATTTTATTTGTACCTGAAGACCCGGGTTTTTACCGTTCAGATCCGTTCTGTTTCAGAAACCGGTTGCACAATGTGAGCCCAACGATGGACCAATGGGAGGGGCCCAGGATGCTGCAAAACGGAGATTCGCAGGCTGGGGTGTCACCATGTTTTTCGGACATAATCAACGCATTGCTATCGCCATCGTCGTCGTCGTCGTCGCCGTCAACATCGTCAACATCGTCAACATCGTCAACATCGTCAACATCGTCAACATCGTCAACATCGTCAACATCGTCAACATCGTCAACATCGTCAACATCGTCAACATCGTCATAATCATCATAATCATCATCATCATCATCATCACCATCATCACCATCATCATCATCATCAGTATCATTATCGCTATATAAGTCTATGTGTTAGACACTCTCACAAGGAACCGTGAAACTTGGCAAGCGACACAGAAGTATACAAAAGTGACACCCACTGGCCATGCCAAAGTGACAGGCCCAGTGGCCTGTGGCAATTCCAGTGACAAGCTGCCAATGAAATACACGGAGATCCAAGGCAGAACCTCTCCAAGCTGGTGCGAATGCACAGATCATCACAGATCTGTGGTCACAGCATGTCATAACTACTGTCTGGAAATGGGGGAATCCCCCAATGTAGCATTTGCTGTGGGCAAAATCATAAGAATCAAGCTTGGGTGCACCCTATCTTGCGACGAAGCCACTCAACAGGAGCCAGTGAGACATTGTCATCCAAGTCTTAGTTTTCTCAAGGAAGGCAAAGCGCTCCCAAGCGGTTTCCCCTTTAAACCAAACTAGTTTAAAGTTTGAATGAACATCAGGATCAACCTGCATCTCTGCAAGCAGCACCTGCAGCATGACGTTCTGAGGATCGTCTTCGTTCCCAGATTTGGGTCTGCTGCTCGATGCCTGTGCCGTGAGCCCTGCCATAGCCCTGCCACAACGCCATCCCCTCAACATCTTCCCGCCTGTTGCTGCTGGATGATAGTGGAGCCAACCAAAATCGCGGGAAAGACCTCAAATCGTGTGCCGAATGGGGATGGGTTACAAAGTTTGTGGCTCAAGAATTATCAAATCGAAATAGATCCATTGGATATCATTGGGTTTCTACATGGATATGGAGACTTCCTAAAATGGGGGTACCCCCCAAATCATCCATTTATAGATCGGATTGACCATTTTTCTCACCATCCAGCGAGCTTGGGATACCTCCAGCTCATTGGGAAACCCCCATATATGTATATATATACATATGTATATATTTATGTGGGTAAATTATAATATTTCACTAACCTGAATTAAGGCTATCTTGGGGATCATTTCCCTTACTAACTATGATTATAGTGAGGGTCGCGACAGTGAGGTCGTGATGAAATTTACCCAGATATATGAAGCTTTTTCATCGATGCAAGGTACAGCATCCACCAAACTGCCGGCACTTTTTGTTGCTATCCAAGGTACCAAATACGCCAGGTAGTCCGACCATCCCATCTCAGGTTGACCATCTTTCCACTGCAGGAGCCAATCAAACCTGTCAGCCATGTTGCTTCAAGCAGAACCAAAGCTTACTCAAGAAAAAGAACAAACATACAAAATGTGTGTCTGAAAATTGGGTAATATCCGCAAATTGCCATGTCTTAATAATTAAAAGGATCAGAATTAGTTTTTTCAAGGATTTTTCATTGGTTTTCCATGGTTTTCCTGAGGTGTTCAGCTGTCACAGGCAATTTGTTCAGCTACCGCCGAGCTGCTTAAACTGGAAATCCGGGTTGGGTTGCGCCAGCGAAGGCACCCAGAGCCAGCCCTCTGTGTAGTGGGGAAACTTCTCCGCCGCCAGACGGCGCCAGCAACCATACAAACTCCTACGGCCCAAGTACGATGTAAAAAAGGGTGTTAACATGCACACTGTGGGCATTTGAAGCTCATTTTAACATGTCAATTCCCAATGGTTAACAAGGTTTAACCACTACTAAACATGGGGATTGTGCATGATTTCAACAGAAACAATTAGGTTGATGAGGGGTCTATACCGACCCACCAGCCAAGCCTGCGTCCAAATAACTCCAATAGCTGTTGGTTGGGTTATTTAGTGAAAGCCAACAAAGATAACTGGGGGGCGCCCAGCCTTGTAAGCTTGTATTGTTAGTAACTATTATATTATATATATACAGTATATATATGGAATGGTCATGGTCAATAGTAGGAATAACAGCTATATTACGAAATTGCAACCTCTATAATTACATTACTTCTGTAATGGCTAGGGGTTGAATTAAGTCCAAATCATCTGGGTGAATTGTGTACATATAAACTTATTCGAACTATATACAGTGACATAAACTCTGGTGTATCTGGTGTATGGGGAAAACGAATCAGTTCATTTGGCCTTCACAGGAGACGGTAAACGAAGTGTGGGACTTCCTGGTTTTTGCTCGTGAGAAACTTGTTCAGAAAACTCGTCTGGAACGCATCCAGAAATGGAGAACAAGAATGAAGGCTTCTGCTCTTTCCAACTGTTCCGATATTTTACATATTTGCGGCGCAAGCATTCCGAATTTGGCCATATGACTGTGACCGACTCAAATGGCATGCCTTTCTACCATCAAGATGATGCTCTGGCCTTAGCTTCCGACCAGTGGAATCAAGTTTTTTTTGGCGAACAAGGAGCATATTCCTTCTGAACCTGTACTCGAAGTGATTCATGATGCCTTAAAAAAAAACTGTTCCAATTTCCTTGCCTTTGCTCACCGATGAGTGCCTCAAGAATGCTGTTGACAAAAGAAAGCACAACGCCTCACCGGGGGTGGATGGTTGGAGAACAGCTGAGCTTCAAGCCCTTCCTGCGATAGTTTTTGCACCATGGGCTCGTATGTGGAACGAAATTGAAGATGGATCCTTTCGTTTTTCACCCATTTCTCAATGCGCGCGTTTGGTCATGTTGCCAAAACCGGATGCCAAAAGCTTAATGCCCATTGGCAAAAGACTGATCACTTTGATGTGTATTCCGTACATCATGTGGAGCAAAGCACGATTTGGCCATTTATGTGGTGGAATTCAGGGAAGACAAGCTGCCGACATTGCTCAGATTATTGCCGCCAGATGTGAACATGCCATCGCTTTTCACAAGCCCATTTGTGGTATCAAACTTGATTGCTCGAAATGTTTTGACCGTATCATTCCAAGAATTGTAGCTGATTTTGCACAGATCCTCGGAATGGATCCAAAATTTTTGAAGGCGTGGCTGCAGGTTTATGAAGATTTTCATATGTTTTTTATGCATGGGGCATGCTATTTCAAAAACCAGTTTGTCCAATTTGAATGGTGCGGCTCAAGGGGATGCAGCCTCGGTGGCCATCAGCATTTTGATGACTGGATGGACAGCAATTGTTGAGTCTATCCCTGGGATTGAGCATTTCGCGTTTATCGATGATTCCTATCGTCTTGTGCTGGAATCCAATGTTGAGAATCTTGCTGCTGCCTTGACTGGTACCAAGTTTTTCGATAAACTTGTTGGCCAAAAATTGAACATTGATGAATCCAGCTGGTTTGCGACTTCGAAAGCTGCAGGAAAGAAGCTGGCAAATGAAATTCCTGCTCTTCCCATTCATGATACGTTTTCAGTTTTGGGTACTTTTGTCAAGACGAACGCCAAGCGTATTACCATTGATCCCAAGAATACTGCTCAAAGCCTCCATGCTATTCTTCATGATATTGAGAATTTGCCAGTTTCTCTTCAAAATAAAGCCTTTGTGATTTCCAGCAAAGTTGTGTCAAAAATCCTTTATCATCCAGAGGTGATTCCTTGGCCGAAAGCGACCATAGACAGTATGGTCAATTCAGTTGCCGAAGCTCTTTGGAGTAACAGACCAGGGTGGCGAAATCCAGAGTTGTTTTTTTCGCTGTGCACCAATTCCATTGCTTGTCATCCCCACATGTCCATTGCCACTAAAGTCATTTGCAACATTGTTGCTCGATGCAAGCGAGATGAACAGTTTTTTGGTTTGTGGTCTGAATTGTGTGGTCGGGATAAGGCTATTGCTTGTGGTCTGGCTGATGATTTCCTTAAAGCTTGTGAAACCCTTGCTATTGAATTTGTGCAGCCACATTTTTTTCGTTGCTTGGGACTACGTGAAATTTCTTTCTTTGAGTTGTCAATTGCTGGAGAAGACTAAGAGTGTGCCATTTTGCGGCTGTGTTTATATGCACAAGCTATTTCTAAGAATGTGCAATGTATGCACAAGCTATTTCTTCTGCAAAGATCTGGTCTGGATCCATGGTGTCCCTCGTCGTTCGATGATTCGTGCCTGGTATTTTGACTGGTGCCTGCCCTACTGCAAACAGACTTTATAAAAGCAATCTTGTTGACTCAGCGAAATGCAGGTCTTGTATGGCTTTGTGAGCTTCATCATGAAGACATAAAAAACATTTGACTCGGTGTGAAGGGGTCGATGCTGGGAAATCCGGGGTCAATTTGTCCTGAGCAGCCCCATTTTCTGACGCATGGTATCTTCGAGGTTCCTCAATATAAACTGGATTCCATCCATGCTGCGGATTTCATGCCTTCTTTTTCTGGTGAAATTTGTCATAGCAATCACGTCTCTTTGGGTTCTTTAGCTGGTTGCGGTTTCGTTTTCAACAAAAAACACTTGTTTACACGAACTTTGGGAGCTGCTGTTGTTAACCTTGAGGGTGAGGTGGTGTGGCATTTTGCCACATTGGAGCCTTGGAGTTGTGCGGTCAAAGATGAACTGTGGATTGTCTCGAGTATGATGCGAAGGTTTTCAAAGAATATTAGTTTTTTTACTCGATGCGTTGCCTTGGCTCAAACGCGGCAACGGTTGAAGGATGTGACTGTCCTTCCACTCAACACGGCGTATCTGGATCTTTGGAGCGAGATTTTCCAGCTCACTGGACGGGGTCGGTCTTGTAGATTAAACATGTTCTCAATCAACGAGCTTGAATTTGCCAACAAAAAGACGTTTTCTGGGTTGTGGAAAATGGCGAAAGATGAGGCTACTCAGGTAGCTAAGACTGCTATGCCGGTCTCGCCGGCAGTTGTGAAATCTTGGATGCAACACACTGCTGTTCAACAATAATGGCTGTGTCGATTGTCAAAACTTTTGCAGTATGTAAATCAAGATGATAACCGTCAACATAGTTTGGTGAATGCTGACCATGTTGTGGACAATGTGGACGCGAGAGTTGATATCGACTATGTCAACCGGTTTCCTAAATGGGATTGGCATTATGCAGAAATTATTTGTGATTGGATTATGCAGAATGCCCCATGCCGGCCTCGTGATTGGGGCTACTCCAATGCGATGTGGAATGAAACTCTGAATTTCTTTCAATCTTTGAAGTGGAGACGTGCTGAGGATACCTTTGTCTCAGTCTATGAACTGGGTATTTATTTCTGGTTGAAAGTGAAATCCCCTCCTTCTGAGGTGATCAAAGGATTCAGCGGTCGCTTATCAACATGGTCAATTGGATCAGACATTTCATGCGTGTTGTCAAGAGACAGAAGATTGAGCTTTTTCCAAATTCGGCCATTTTTTGGGCCAGAAAATGTAGTTGGTCCGGTGTACAGTTCCTGTAGTGTGGCCGCTCCGCTGATGCGTGGAACATCGTGGAACCTTCCGTATGTTGATTTACCATACCCTCTGGTAAACTAACATAACTAATGGGAAAATCCACTCTGAATGGCCATGTTCAATAGCTATGTTAGTTTACCAGAGGGTAGTTTCTCTCTCCAGATCACACGACTGGAAGAGCAAGAGCGATTCCTGCAACTTGGCAATAAAAAACGAATCAGTTCATCCACCATTTCTGAAGGTATCCAGGCAACTGTCAACGTAGGAAGAAATCGAATCTGGCAGAAAATCACAACTCTCCCCAACTGATTGGTGAAAACTGTTCCCAGCTCCTCGAGCTGGCTGTTTTCACCTGAATTCCCTTACTCTAATTATGTGATTACTGGTTTTCATCCATGTAAATCATGGCTTTCTTATGCTTTCTTCCATGACCTGGACCCCTCCCCGCTCCAGAAGATGGGCAACTGAAGCAAGACGGGCAAGCAGCCACCCAACCTGAACTTGCTGCTGAATTTGGGAGACATTGCTCCCTTTGGGCAGATACGTGGGTGTAGTTTCAGGTATAAGTGGTTTTACAAACATAGTGATCATAGAGTGGTTTTACAACAAAATCCTGCAACACCTTGGATGGTTAAAACCCTATAAAAGAATCTATCAACTGGTGCAGGATTTCGCAACCATCCACAGAAGTTACGTAGGGTTACACATGCATCCAACTGAGGTGAACTCACCATGATCAAATTTGGGAGCATTTTACATCACTAGATTTTTTTTATGTGTCAGGTGAATCTCCCAATTTTGAAGGTTACTAACATGCCTTCTCCATAAACAGTGTATTGATCACTCTTGTTATCACACGTGAAAATCAGGCATTAACATATTGCTAACAGGCATTACTAGCATAAACATCACTCTTTTTCTGTATTCCTTTCTTCACCCAATGTTGACTTCTGGTGCTTCTGGTGGCTTCAACACCATTGACATTGACCCTGCCGTCTCTCACGGCAGACGGCCATAAATGGAACAAATCCACACGCAAATGTTGATTGTTTTCAACATGTGTTAACCCATCTCCCAAGAATGATTAGATACACAAATATATATATATATATGTATATATATATGTACATATATATACATATATATATATATGTATGTATATATATATGTATATATATACATGTATATATATATATATACGTATATATATATGTATATATATATATATATACGTATATATATATGTATGTATATATATACATATATATATACATATATATATATATACATATATGATTTGACACTTCCTTATTGGAACTTATTGTGGATATTCCCGTACCGCTGCTTGATCTTTCCTTCTCTGTTCCCATGTTTGTTGGTTGAAAGCACAAACCAAATGTTGGTACCTCTCAATTCAGCAAATCATGGTAAGATCAGCATTTTGTTTATCTGCTTTTCGTAGTTTTCACCCCTCACAATGACCTGCTTTAGTCTACACCCCCTAAACATGCGGACACTTGGGAAGAGCCAATTCATGGGGCATTGGAAGATGACTTCCTGTCGGATATAGAAATGAATATGGGTTCTATATGGCTTTGGCTGAGACTGGGATATATGTATCCCATTTTAAGGCTGCTTCAATAGGTAAAATGATTCTCTGAACCACCAAAGTTTGTTTTGTTTCAAACAAATCAAACAAAACAGTAGTTAACATATTTTCGGACAAGATCCAAAGTTGAGTTAACACATGTTCAGGCAAGATCCATAAAAAGAATTTAAACGATGGATAGCAACCCCAAGATGCCGAAAAGTTGGAAACCATTGGGTTTTACCATCATCAAACTACCATCCCGGTTGCACACGAACCGATGGGCACCTTTTCGGGTGAAACCCCAGTTACATCCCATGATGTTCCCCCGATATTGTTGGTTGTACTCCCATTATTCTCACTATATGAAGTTGCTAGTAGTAGGTAGTAGGTACTATATATATATATAAATATATAATTATGTATATATATATATATATATAGTCCTACTACTAGTATAATATATATATATATATATTATATATTATATATAAAAGACTATATCCCCCATTTTGGGACTTACTAGTAGTTACTCCAAACCAACGCTGGCCAGTGACGGGTTAACGTCCATTACGGAGTAGAGTTGTCCCAAAAGTCGTTGCTGCGTGTCCGGATCGTCCTGCAATTTGATGACATCATCATGTATTGTAGTCACCCCAATGTAGCTAAGACGATGTTATAATTATAAATAAACAATCAGATATCCTAGATACTCATAATTTATGGTTACTACTTAGCACAAATGTACTAGCTAAGTTGCTTTCTACACATAACTCCAATAATTGCTGGGTTATGTTATTAATGTATACATATATATATATATATACATCAACAAAGATATCGGGCCGAGGGGCCTAACTTGCAGGGAATCAGCCACCAATTCATGACCACAAATGAACATGATGATGATGGTGATGATGATGATGATGATGATCATCATCATCATCATCATTTTTGGATCTTATTGTCAGGCAAACCTCTAATATCCATTAATATCCAAGATGTTCGTACCAAATTATGAAGGAAACCCTGCTCTAAATCCGTCCACAAATCTTCATCCAGATTTATCACACACATATTCTCAAGTTTCCTCAGTTGAACCAAAAACACGGACTCCGCTCCCTTCTTTTGTTTGTTTGGCTCATGGAAATAGGTTTCAATCCTCAAATAGCTGGGATTTATATGGATTTATGGTGTTTGACTGCTGACCCATCCAAAATTATGCAAAAACATATAGCTTTTAAGCCATCACCATCTGGATCTCCTTGTATCTCTCTTGGATCTCCTTCACTTTGGGCTGCAGCAACTGCATCATAGAGGTGCTCTTAAGCTGGCCCTGCTGCAAGGGGAAGAACAAGAGCTTGATGAAGGCGGTGTACAAAACGATGGTCCAGCCGAAGGCTTGTTCCACGCCTGGGAGCTGAGAGAATGGCACTCCATGGCCATGATGCTTGAAATGGATACCTTTAGAGAATTTGGATGGTGAAAATGGGAGGAGGATGAGCATATATGAGCATGATGATTTTTATTGATTTTTGGACTGTAGAATCACTTTAGAACAAGGGATCTCAGGCGTCCACCATTCTCACGCAAGATGGCATCAATGCCTTTGATGAGACCTGCTTGGAATCCAATGAAGCCGTTCCACCAGTCATCCGTGATGGGCTTGTTGTTCATGGGATCCACCAAGACTGCGCCATCCGGACCATAGAGGTAGGTGGTGTTGGGATCTAATTCCACAGGCGGCAAATCTGCTGCATAGGCCGGTGGCACGATCTCATGGGCCAAACGACCCGCATTTTCCGACAGACCATCTGCCCACTGCTGCAACGTTGCAGCAACCTCAGCAGGAACTGAGTGATCTCCTGTGGCCAAATTTGCCTGTTGGCAAAACTCCTGCACTTGCTGCAGAAAGTTGGCTTCTCCCATCTGCCCCATCTGTGCCTGGGCATGCTGCAGAAATTCCACCATTTCGGGCCCTGCACGCCGTGGCACGCGGCGTGCGCGGCGCCCGGCACGGGCGACGCAGAGCCCAGCCGTGGCCAGGCCCATTCCCCACCGGGTGGCCGTGGCCGTCCCCCCACTGGCTGGGACAGCCGTGGCAGGCGTGGCAGCCGTGGTTCCCATGGCCCCAACGTGGCCAGGCCGGGCGGCCGAGAGGAAGGCTGGAGCATCTCCAAGTTGGCTCGCGATCATGGCGGCCCCGGCAAGAGCAGCACGAAGCTCGGGTCGCTCCATGACTCTACTTTGACTCGTCATGAGCACCGTGGCTACATGATGCGTGATGCCATGATGCCAACAATGCACCTGGCCGGGAATCATGTGACCTGAAAGCCTCATGTCTTACATAATCTATTGAAAAGCACCCGAGAAATGTAATTGGGAAAATGTAATTACAAGCCTCTCCCCCTTGATTACATGTATAAGGTAGGGTCCATGTTTCCCTGCAGCTACATGTTCATGTCCAGAAAAGTACACGACACAAAGATATAAGATCTCCTTATGGATCCAAGTACCTTCTGAGGAAGTGGGGATTGATTTAGGGGGTTCAGTACCTTCCCAGGTAGCATTTGGATCCATAGGCTATGGATTTCTGTGAGAATTCAGGATCCCAGTCCATCCCCAGGGTTTGAATAACCGAAGATTTCCGATTCCGTCATGGCAATAAATTACAACCCTATTATGGATGGCACTATATATAGAGGGATGTTTCCCATCTTTTCCATCGCAGCCAACCTTGTCATGACGTATGCCATGCGCCCAGTCTGGAAACGACAACGCCAAGTCCTAATCAAGTTTTGTACCTGTAGAGTCCCTAAAGCTGAGAAATGGGTATGGTCAAATTAGAGGGTCCCCAAGAAAATGGATGGTAAATATGAAAATCACACGAAATGTGATGTTTGAGTCTGCCATTTTCACCCAAAAAGTATGAAGAGGCGTCAAGTCACAACCATGGAACAATGTTTCAAGGGAATATCCACACTTTTCTGAAATTGAACATTCCACCAATAACACGTCTGAAATTTGGTCAACAAATATGAAACCCATATGGCAGTTTCACTCTCGCCCGTCTCAGAGTTCGTCGAAGGATTGACCGTCAGAATAGGAGCCAAAGGGTAAATAACCCGCCTGGAGCAGCCCATCAACTGGACGTAGCTCAACTTGCCGCAATTTTGGGTACCCCCAAAAAACATGCAACATTTGTGGGGTTGCGAGGTTGGGAATTTTGACCATAGCGATAAACAAAGAAGTACAAATAGAATCAAATAGATATATCAGATAAATAGGATTAAATAGGTACCAAAAATGGCCGTAATTGCAGTGTTTGCCATCTAAAGACATGCCCAAACTGGGCCCTTCCTCGATCTTGTCGTCCCCCTCTGGGAGGACTCTCCTTCAGCAAACGGATCCATGACTCATCCACAAAGGGGTAGCCATCTAAAATAATAAGAAGATATAAGAAGCAAATGGGGGTTCTTGAAATGGGGATGCCCAAGTCACCATGGGTTTCAAATGGTTTCAATCCGAAAATGCTCCAATCACTGGGATGATTTGGGGATACCCGCATTTTAGGAAACCTCCCGGAAAGGGTATGACTCTTTGCAAGCCGCCAAAATCCGGCTTGATGGGGAATTGGATCATCCAGAAACTGCTGGGATACCACAACGGGTAAGGGTTGGCCATCAACGCCACTGTTAGCAGGTTGGATCGTGTTGGATCATGGATCTGCAGACGAGATTCTCTGGGAAACAGTAGATCTGCTGGCAGTTTTTGAGCCTTACTCTGCCACGCCCGAAAAACGAAGAAATTTGAGTAAACATGTTTCAGGCCGAAAAGACATGAAAAGACCCCCGAAATCTCATCATTTACTTCAAACGTCGGAAACGATTTGAGAGGCCACCCAGCAAACTCCGGCAACATTTTCTGAATGACACGGTGTAGATGACACATTGAGGAACGGGCCCGCCATAATCAAATGGGTTTTGGCCTTCCCTGTAGTAGTTCTTGACCTCACAAAATCTGGAAGGATTCCATGATTGGGTCATTTACCTTTGGATACCTTTGGTACTGACCGTCATTTCTACATTCGAAGGGGTCAATGTTTGGTGCATAAGGTTGGGCACGTGCTCATTGGTGGTCAAATTCTGCAAGGAAATCACGGTGTGGTACACGGCCAGCAATAACACCTCAGCAGGCGTCTCTGTGTTTTCCAGGGATAAGTTTGCCGAAACTGAGAGGAAATCCATATGTCTTTGCATGCCAGGTTGAATAATGACAACACATAATGACAAAGTTTGTCTAATTAAATAATAACATTTCTTCCTTTCTTTGCTTTTTTTCTGAAGTTGCGTTTTTTGTACTGGTAGTTCCCTTCACTTCCCTTGACGGTATTGAGGTGCCAGCAGCAAACATCAGAAAAAGACAGTACAAGAAGAAGAACACCGTGGAGGTATCCTGGCATCAGACCGTCAAGGCAAGATAGATATCACCCAACCCCAACCACCCACCCGTTGATCTTTAGGTTCCGTGTTTTCATTGGGGAGAACAGGATAGGGTAAAATAGATATATATATATATAATATGTGTATATGTTTTGTTTTGTAATATTCATATATAAGTATATAATTCTAAAATATTCTAAAATTGTATATGAATAGAAGTATGTAGTAAGTCGTAAACAGTTACTGTATATATATCAAGCACAAGTTCTTGGCCATGTATTCCGCCAGCTTTCCGGCTGCGAGGCCGCAGAGGCCGTGGAGGTCCTCCGACAGCACCCAGAGCACATCTAGGAAGCCATAGTCAGGGCCGAAGGTATCATCTGCCTGGCTGGAAAGGCATGGAAAGTCCGGAAAGATGTGGATTTCCGAAAGGGCAACTGGAATCAACTGGATCTTTCGGATACTTTTCCGGGTAGTGTTCTAGGGATCTTTGGTGGAATTTCCATCCCAATTTCCATCAGGATTCTTCCCAGTGAACCCATTCTTGTTGCGTTTTTTTCCCACCCTGGTTCTTTGTATCTGCTTTTGCCCCTTGTCCCATGATTTGTTATATCCCAAGAATCTGCTGGTCCCCAGAAGGTTCTGGTTAAATCATCTTAAATCACTTAATGCTCCCTAGTCGGTTCAATCATGTTCAATCTGCCCTGTGTTTCTTGGTTAAACCACTAGCTTTGTGCCATTCAAATCCATCCTTGGGGGGATTCCACAAATCAAATTGGTCCCTTCTACAACCGCATGCCAAGGCCATCCAAGGCCCATAATAATAAAAAATGGGCCCGGGCCTCCTGTCCGAAGTGGCACACGGTCACATACAGGCACTGCATGAGAAAAATCGTGGAGGAGTAGATCAGAACCACAAAATAGCGGTAGTTGTACAATCCCACCTTGGAGGGCCACCCGGCGGAATGTCGAATCAACTGGAAGGCGCACTTCCAAAGTGGCAAATAAAAAAAAATCTCTTTGGAACAATTCCTCAGAACGTGCCTCACTCCAAAAGAATATATGATATGCTACTCTCTACACGGTTTTTTTTTGATTCCCCAGCATTATGGATTCAATCCAGTTCAATCCGCAGCAACTTGCTGCTTGAATCTGATGTTTTACTAGTTGAACCACCAATTTTTACTTCCGCTGAGCTGCACAATTTCCCAACCACGTGCAGTGGTGATCGAAGCGCAAAATGCAATTGTCACCTGCCACGTCAACAGCTGAAAATGGTCAGCTGATTCGACCACAAAGCCCAGCCAAACCCATCTAAAACCAGGGTATCCATGGGTATCCTGCTTCAGAAACTCTCCGTTGAACTTGTATTCATCATATTCCGTGAAAATCATCACTGAAAATGCCTTGGTGAATTATGGTGAATTGCGACTTCGACTGGGCATTCACAGGCCGGAGCCGCAGAAGGAGCAATGCTTTGAACGTGGTGGTCTGAAGATGTTGCACGTGGCACAAAACCTGATACGAGACTCGTCTTTTTCAACAGGCACAGCAACGGAAAGAACATCCATAAAAACAAATATATCACGTGGGGTACAAAACGCAATCCAATGGCTTATAAATATCTATTAAACATATCACCAGTTCCCATTCACACCTACAATGTTCGTCTTTCTTGCTTAAATATGCCACTAGTATTAATCCAAAATATAGCATATTCATAGACACATATTCAAACATATTCAAACCATACATCTTTCAGAAAACCTCTGAGATTTCAGCTTCTGTTTGATGGTGATCTCGCTGATCTTCCTTAGCGACGCGGAATGATTGCTTCACTGTTTGCCTACATGATCTACATGAATGAGTCAGAAATGTTGGGTGAACGTTGGTAAACATTCCATACATGGAGCGATTTTGCGCGTTGAGTCTTTGAGAGGTTGGAACTATGTCTTGGTCCAGAAAGGACCATGCAAAACCCATCGATAGGGAAGGCCATGAAACTCCGACCGTTGCGATCCCATACGGTCCCCATGTTGGTCCCAAAAGTAGTTCCTCCACCGGGAATTTCGCCAAGTAACAAAAAGCGATGTCGAGGTACACCTCTTAAATCCATCTGTTGCTCTAATTCCTGCGACGATCCAAAATCCAGTGGTCCAGCATCATTTGACCAACGGCCACTTTTGGAACATTTTGTTGACATCAATGTTGAAAAATTATAACTTACGGATGTCATTCTTCATTCTTCCATTAGACTCAACTGTCATTCGATTTTTTTTTCTTCGCTCTTTTTCCCATGAAGTTCCGGCCGTTCCCGCCGTTCCCATGGGGGGCTCCTGCGGAATGCTTTCATTCCTTGGGATAATCCCTGGATTCATGGCGGACGCGAAGAAAAAGGTCACCAGAATCACGGCAGCGAGCACCTGAAATGAAAACCGGGAGGATGTTGAATGGACTTCCTGAACTGCAGTTGATATATATATATACATATGTTCTTAAATATAAAGTAAATATTAAATATAACCATATCATATACAACATATATCAACATATATGACATATGATGTTTATGATAATTTTTTATCTCCTGAAATCTGCTGTCATCATCCCATACCATCCCTCCATCGATTGGAGGACTGGATGTTCTGCGGTCCAGGGACACACTGGGAGATACCCAGAAATGATGTCAGGATCAAACCTCAGGTTTGCACAGATTCCTCTGCTGATTTTTTGGTATGTGAAATTTATGGAAAAATCATGAGGGGAACCTTACTCTTTATTCCATGGGATAAAAGAAGGCATAGAAAAACTTCAAAAAAACGTCTCTTCAGACGTTTCTTGAAACTGCCATCCACTGGTTTCAAAGGTTCCCAGATCTCCCAAGTTTCAGCCGCGTGTCCCGCTGCAGCTGAGCCACCGGGACGAACGATCGGGAGCAAGGAATGGAAATACCTCCAAGTGACCACATTCGCTGTCAGGGGTACCGTTGAACCTAGCTATGGAAAATGGCCCATTTATAGATCATGTATGATTTCCCTATTAAAAATGGTGATTTCCCATGGCTACGTTAAATAACCAAAGGGTACACATACAGACATCAATATATATATATAATATATGTATATGTATATATATATATGAGTCTTCTATCCCATTGATCAATTACTCCACCCATTTTAAGGTCCAAAATTTCGGCGGTCGCCAGTCCGGTCTTGAGGGCACCAAGCTCCAGGTCCAAAGGTCAAGGTCTTGGCGTGGCGTGGGAAACTTTGGCCCAGAGGGGATGAGGGAACATATAACATCTATATATTATTGTAAAAAACAATCTATAATGTGTATGTGTATATCTATATATTATGTATGTATATTTATATATAAATATAATGTATATATATATACCTATATATATAATGTATATATATTGTATATATATATATATATAATGTATATATATACAATGTATATATATATGTCAATTATACATATATATATAATTAGTTGGGGGTATGGAGTACCATGTATATATATTAAATCTGTGAACAAATCGATCCTTGTTCTGGATGTTGTAGTTCAAATGATACCCGCTTCACTGGTAGTTCCCGGACCCTTTAATCATGGCGGAGGGCGAACACTTATTTTGCTCACGCGTGGGGTCTTGAGCCATAGTGGCGTCCCATGCATGAATTGTTTGTATGTTCTCACTACGTTCCCTTTGACACCCCCCATGCCCGTGGTATTCTTCGAACCACGGACACGAGAGAGGGAACTTTGAATTAGATCGTTTCTGCTACTTGAATTACGCCTATGTACATAAAACGTGCCATTCGGTTCCCCCTTCCCCACATTCCCGAAGGGAATAATGGTTCAGGGTTCGCCTACTCTCTGGCTGTCGATGCATCGGCGCTTCATCAAGCTGTACAACGCGAATTATTGCTAGCTAACATCTACTTCTCTACGCTGGCTCAGCTCGCCACTCACCCGTAGGGAGAAATGGGTCACTTCGCTATCAAAGATTTACAATGCTAACTAACGAATTCACGTGCACACTGCAGAATTTCATGCAGATTGGGAATATCAAAAGTCTTGAACCTAAGCGAATTAGTCTAATGCCTCGCTCAGAGTCCACTCAGTTGGTCTTTTCCTGATCATCTGTTTGCAAAGACGATACACATCTTGTAGTTCAGTGACCATTTTGGCGGACAGAGGTAATAAGTTCACTGCTCACGGCGGACTTTCTTCCATTGAGGTGCTGTCGGAGTTCTCTCCCATCCTGCCGCACGTTTTGGAGCAGCTTTCGGCGATGAAGGCTTTGCAGGCGGTGCCTTTGATGGTTCATGGGATTTCGGCATAGCCTTGCCCTTTGGTGCACTAGCCGATGATGATGATGCTGAACCAGTGCCTTCAGGTGTCTGTGAAGGTTGCGCAGGTGGTTTAGCAAACTTGGAAGCTGCAGTATGTCCAACTGCTTTGAATACTTCACCCACCACTTCGTCGCCAAGGGTTGGAGCCATCTTCGTTTTCATCTCGGTCTTTCCCCTCTGCGCCTCGGCCTCGGCCAGCTGAATAGCATAAGCCATCTTGCTAACAAAGTTTTGAGGCAAAGGAATGCCACACTGTTGGGCGGCAAAGAGCAGTTCTACTCTCTGTTCTTTCTCCCTCAGGCTCAGATATACTGAGAATGCTGGGAGTTCGATGCAGTTGGGGAAGCCGTGGCTCCCAGAGCGAAAGAAGGTATACGACTCGTGCTCCGGAAATGTTCCTTTGAGCAGTCGTCGAAGGAAATTGCTGATGGTTACTCGCATCTCCTGTTTCCCTTGGGCATCAGCCTGCATTCGGTTCATTGGCATGAGGAAACCCAATGATTCGGGAGTGTACCCGGCGCAGACCAGAAATTCCATCATCTTTTCATAGATCTCCAAATTCTTGATGACAGGCATCATCATGTTTCTTGGTCGTCCTGAGTACATCTTCTCCCCCTCTGACCAGGAGTTCCTTTTCCCTTTCTCCTGAAAGAGTTCATCCAATTCCAGCTCCGTCGGCCGCTTGAGGTTGCCGTCCGGGTCTTCACCTGTGTAGGGGCAGAAGTCGTCCAGGTCCAGTCGGACTCGCCTGGTTTCCGTCATCAGCACATGGTACGCCTCAGGGGTCATAGTGACTCTCTGGTTGTAGTAGTGCCTGAACATTGTGATGACCTTTGACATGACAGCATTGTCATACAAGTGAGCCGCGGCCTCGGAGACATCATTGTTGATAAGACCGTCTTCTGGCATACCCTTGCTGCCGCTCTCAAGATTCTTGGTCCATGCTGGAAGTTTGGTAGAGGGCTCATCATCAGGTTCGACGTCCATTTCATCATCGTCTTCTTCAATGATTTCGTCTTCTTCCTGTTGAGCTTCCTCCTCCTGGTCCATTTCCTCATCGTCGCCTTCATTGTAGTCGACCTCGTCAGGATTGAAACCATAATCATTGGATTCGGATACGTTTTCTTGTGCTTGATTGACCGTATCCTTGAACAATGACTCTTCTTGTCGACGAACTTCCTCATCGAGCTCTTTCTTTGTGGCCTCATCTTCATCGTCTTCAGGAGCTTGTAGCCGATATGGACGAATCCCGCAACTCTCGAGTTCTGTCCAGCAAACTATGCACACTGCTAGTTTTGTCGGCGTCTCATTGATACAGTGAGGACAGTGGCGGCAACCTGAAGTTTGCACCCTTTTGCGTTCGACTATGTAGTCGATCAGCTTGATGCGGGCCAGGTATTGTTCTTGTCCGCCAGGCTTGATGAGGTTGTTCTTGAATTGGTTGACGATGTTCATGGCATCCATGGCAATCTCGTCAAATGGTTGGTCTTCGGCGTCGATGCACTGACTTGCAACCCTCAGGATGGACTCCTTGGTGGCTACCGTTCTTGATTTGATAGTTCCAGACCGGACTACCTGGTCGTCGCCCGAAGGGACGAACAACCGGAGCCATGTCTTGTTGTACTGATCCTTGGGGTCCTGAATCCATCCACCTTTGATTGCCGAGAATGGGATGATCCTTGGTGAGACGATCTGTCCCGAGTCAGTTAGTCGACCGCCGTATTCCACCATCAAGGTCTCGGTCGGGATGAACAAGCATATGTAGTCACCCTTACGCGTATCAACGCTCTTCGTGATAGTCCATGATCTGTGATCCCACGGGACGTACGGGTTGAAGAACGTGAACATCCGATGACCTTCTCCAAGACCTCCTGGGATTAATCCCTGCCTCCAAATGCTTCGAAGGTTGGTCTTCTTGGTGATGTGGAAACAAACCGGTAATGACAAAACAGTGTTGGGTGCGATTGGATGTGAAAGCAGCGAGGACATCAATGAAACGTCGTCTCTCGAAGATCCTTCTTTGTGCCCCGTAGGAGCACGAACTGCCACTGGATATAGCAGTAGACCTTCATCAGGAATGGGCGTATCCGCATCGACATTGTTGTCAATGCACGTCAGGCTGCGGCGATCAATATCCTTGTTGATCCCAAATGCCAAAACTTGTTCACGCACACGACGTCCATACCTGGCACAGTGGAACATGATCTTGAAGAGCAGTGTCATTCGAAAGTTCGCTTCGTCGACATTCCATGCCCTCTGATCATTTGCTCTTCCCTTTGGGGCAAGGAAACATGTGGCCAGCGTGCATAATCGTGCCTCCAGATGGACTCACATTTGAGCACTTCCTCGATGGGCACCCAGCCGGCGTCATCACAGGGCAGACTCTGTTGCTCTGATACCTTCCCCACATTGTGCCGTAGGATCCTGTTCAGTGATGCACTCACCTTGTCCTCGTAGGCATCGAGTCGGTTGCCAGTCTCGAAGCGGTAGTTGGTCGCATATTCCACGCCGCCAAAGTAGGAGCAATTGAAGAAATGGGCCCCTGTAGTTGGGATGATTTTCAAGAAACCATCTTGCGGCGCCTCGACACGTTTGTAGAAGGTCTTCCTGATGTTGTTGTCAGAGTAGCTTGCCATGAAGTCTGGCACTGACGAAGTGTCACCTCCTCCTCTGACGATAGCGTCTCGGATCACTTCGTTGAGGTCAACAACGTTTTGTGGTCCCAGCTTTGTAACATCACGCCCTTCAATGCAGAATTTGCCATACTCATCGAGGTCACCAACTTCAGACATAGTTCTGATGCTGTCATACCATTGGTGTTCGCCAAACCTCGATTTTGTAGGTTCATCTGTTTGCCCCGACTCTTCAGTAGCACCTGAACCGTCCTTCTTGTGCTCAGGAGGCTCCATATCGACGTCATCAGATGTGGGACTATCAGCCTCGAGCGAAGCTCGGACGGCCTTTAGCACTTTTCTGACTTCATCTCTCTTCTCATGTTCACATTCCAGATGGCCATGTTTGGTGCTACCACAATACAAGCACACGTTGACATCCTCAGAGACAGTGAAGAGTTTTCCCAACGCATCCAAAAGTTGTTGTCTCCCCGACATCTCTGATTCCCTGACCACATCAGTGGGATCGTTTGCTGGCTCATCAGCTTCCTCCTCCCCAGGGTGAGCCGAAGGCTCGTCACCTGGCTTGGCATCGGCATCAGTGCCCATGCTGGCGTCGTTCCCTGTGATGTTGTTCTTCCTGCGATAATGAGAGAACACCTGATCCTTCTCCCATTCCGTGAGGCAGCTGAAATTGGCCAGAGTCTCATATCCGGGGATTGCGTGGATGATCTTCATGACCCTCTCGGCTTCTGCGGTTTGCAGTGTGCAGTCGAAGGATCCCCGTCTCTTGTCATTGATGGTGCTTGAGGTTCTTGATGTCGATGTAAACTGCGCCAATGCCTTTTCCAATCCATTGAGATATTCAGCTGGATCAACACTGGCATTGAAAACATCAACAACTCCTTTGGCCATGTTGGCCACATCCAAGACACCAAGCCAGAATTCGATGATATCTCCAGTTTTCTCGGCAGATGCACGGGAGAATCCAAAGATCTCGTTCCTCTCCTTCACATCGGGAACGGCGACCTTCTCGAAGAAGTCTTTGTATGCGACATTTCCGCAATCCTTTGTGACTCTGTAGATCAATAGCCACTTCTTCGCGACTTCATCAAAAACTCTTTCGCGATAGATGCTGAATTGCTTGCCGCGTCCATTCCGGAAAATTTCCAGAGCTTGCCTCTTCGAAATCCTGACTCCTCCCATGTGAGATAGAGATTTCATCAAATGCTCCCCATACGCCAACGATGCATTTGAAATCAACGAAGACGCAGT